CACTTCGGTTTCTTCAAATCTGGGGAAACCTATCCAGTTTAAAAGCAAGGCAAAGAGGATCAAACAACGTTTGGGACTGACATTAAAAAAAACGGGAATAATCGGGTTTAAGAGATGGGTTGATGTCCAAACAGGACAGACCTACCTCCCACTGCCACTCTGCACCAATTTTTCTTCAGTCCAAAGAGATAGGTTGAATGAGAAATTTCTTAAAGGAAACAAAATCCTAGACTTTACTCCTAGCTCTTCATCTTTGAAGCTGGTGAGCTAAAGGGGTTTCACCCGCCAAAGGAAATAAAAAGTTCCGAGAAAAATTCTACTACCAAGTTCACAACCTCCAAATGCTGGAGGGAGAAACAGCTTTTGTCATGGTACCTCAAGGAAACTCAAGGTGAGGACCATGGCTGAGAAAAAAAAAAAAAGACTTAGGGAGCAAATAAGACGCTTCTTCAAGAACCTCTGTTCATCCACCTTAGAAGAGATGAGCAGAACAAAGAGCACTCTTGGCCAAAATCAGAGACGAATTAAGAGATTGCGTAATCAAGGGAAATACTTATGTAGAACGAAGATTGGTTAATGAAGAAACATATCCATGAAGAAGGGCACGCAGAGGGTAGCACTTAGCAAGCTGATGACAGAGGAGAATATAATATCCTTCACTAGCGACACAGGACGGAATGTTTCTAGATACTTTCAACTACAACGAAGCTCTCAGACTCATTACCGTCCTGAAACAACACCTCCAGAGATTCTCCAAGAAAAACTTCCTTTGCAAACTCAAAAAGACTGATCATGATGTGCACGGTTCACCAAATCCAAACAAGTGTCAGATGGATTCTGTTAATGGATTCATCATCTATGACGCCTCCCTATGATGCTGTAGAGAAACCTAAACCCTATTTGCATTACCACCTAAAAGTTCTTCAAAATCATAGGTCTACTACGCTACGGCTTCTTCCCTAATCAATCGAAACTAAAACCGTATGAGAACAATCAAATTACCATAGAAACATCCAACGATCTAATCACGAAAAACGTAGAAAAAAAACACAAAGAATCTACGAATTTTTTTACTATGAGATCACGAACTTTCGATCAGGGGCGAAATAATCTCCTCCACCGATTCGATAACTGTTCTCCGGATAGAGAAACGCACGCTGCTGAGTTCTCCCAAGCGAGAGAAACGTTTCGATTTGAAAGTGACGACGAGACGAGTGTTTTTTATTTGTTGAGGAAATTAACTTAGTGAGGACACCTTCCTTCCTTCCCTCGCGTGTGGGGTTTTACTTTTATATTTATAGTGAGGCTTGACTTTTTCCAGATACTTCGAATTATTGCCGTTTTCCGGCGCTAAGAGAAACTATATAATTGGTTTTTTTTTTATTTGATTTCTGTTGACAGCTAAAATATCTACCACCATTCATTTCCATGATCTTCCCCCCAGCTTGAATATCTAAACCCAAAATGAAGAGAAAACAAATTACACACGTCGTCAAATATTCTTCCAACTGTCTAATATTTCGTTCCCACAAATGGAATGAATGCATTATTCTCCACACTACGGAAAAATTGAAAAACAATGAAAATGCAAACTTATTTTTTACATTGAGATGTGAAATTCCAAAATCAAAATCAAAAATTGTCTAAATGTTAAATAGAAAATAGCAGAATTCTTTTTTTTTAACAATTAATGGCAGATTGCATAGACGAAATACACTTCCTTTTTTTGACAAAAAATAACAGATACTTTAAATTAAAAATGTATGTACATGAACTGATAATTTTACATTATTGCGTGGTTAAGGGTACTTACGTGTTGAACTTGAAGAAGTTATTTCGGAGATGGGGATGGTGACGTGGCTACTAAATGATTGGAAATCTTTACAAGTTTGGATTCTATGCAGGGCCGGCCCTGAGAAATAGGGGACTTAGGGTGATTTTTAAACAGTTTCACCTAAAATTTTTCTTTTTACATAATTGGGGGTCAAAAAATTTTTTTTGGAGGCTTATGTACATGTTATTTTTTTTAGAAAAATAGGGGATCCAAGACGAATATTTCATCCGGCTTGGCCCAGGATCGGCCCTGATTCTATGATTAATTTTTTTTTTTTGTAACTGGCTTTTCTATGATTAGTTTACGTATAAAAAATACATTCCATTCCACCAAGCATCAACGCTTATCTTATCTCTATGATGTAGACACTTTATCAACTCCTCTTCCCAATCCTTTCAATGATACAAAATCACATACCATCTCACAAAAAAATAAGTAGAATTATATAGATTGGGTGGTAAGACCACAATGTTTTAATTTATTTATTTAATGAGTGATTATTAATGAATTTAATCGGGGATGAAACATATTAGGCTTCGAATGGTAAAAGCAGATCAAGCGGTGCAGATCAAGCGGTTCATGCAGATCAAGCAGGACAAGTGCAGATAAAGCAGGACAAGTGCAGATCAAGCGGATCAAGCAGGAGAGATACATATCAAATAATTTATCATAAATTATGAATGACAAAATAAGTTCAAAACTATATATCATATATTAAAAGAATAAAATTATACCAAATATCAATATAAATATTTAAATATTGTAGGATCAGCCTAAATGTTTATTGGATTTTTCATAAGATGCTTATAGCGTTTTAGTTGATCAAAATTATTTTTGAAAAACAAACATCTTAATATTTAATTCATTGTTAATATTTATATATAAAAATGGAGATAAAACAGATTAAATAATTTATTATAAATTATAAATGACAAAATATGTTCACATTATATATCATATATTAAAATAATAAAAATTACACCAAATATCAAAACAAATATTTCAGAGGTTGTATGTTCAGCCGAAATGTCTGTAAAATTTTTATTAGATGCTTATACTTCTTCTATTTATTAATTATTTTAAAATATAAAATAATTATTTTTTTGCTGATACTTATGTAGAAAAATTTATATTTTTCATGGAAAATATTGTGTTTTTAGCGATTATACATCATGCTTATAACTTTAAAATGATACAAATAATATTAATCTGAACTATATAGTTTGAGTTAATAATTGTACATTATTTATAAAATCAAATAAATATATTTTAAAGTTAAGTGTTTGTAATAAAACTATTTATTAGTAAAAGGAAAAAAAAAGGCAGATCAACACCACCAAATGTTAGCGGATGAGATCTGCATGCAGTTCTCCTGCTTTTTCTACTAAAAGACAAAAAAAATTGAACTGCATGCAGATCTCCCGCTTGAACTGCTTTTACAAACAGAAAATGGTGAATGGTAAACATAAGGCAGATGAACTGCCTATTGCGGGAGAATTGCATGATCTGCCTTTGTCCTGCCCCTCCCATTCATAACCTTAGAAAGCTGTTGCGTATGCGTTTACTTATTTGGGTAAATGGTTTTACTCCTTCGATCTCTTGGACCGATGGATTTGACACAGAAACGCCGAGCCAGCCAATTACTAGTGGACACGTCAGCATACTAATAACCGGGTCAAGTAAACGCTCGTCCTTTGTGATTCCTCTCTCATACTAATAAGTCCATAAAGTCAAGAGTTAGTTGTCTTTCCTTTCCCACTTTCTTAGCGATCTCTGCAGTTACAATCGTCTCTCTTCTCCAACCATCTTTTCTTCTCGTAAGCTCATTTTCTCTCTCGTTTCTGCTTCTCCGTTGACGTGACGCGATCGCAACGGTGGCGCTTGTTCGTGTTCTCTTTTGTCTCCATGATGAATAGGCTAGAGTAGAATAGTATCTCTTCCTTCGTATGTTCATGTGCTCCTCTAGACGATGTGTGTAGCGTCGATGCCTTAGGTTCTCGGCCTAGCTTATAATCTTGATCGTTACCTAAGGCGTTAACAAGAGAAGCTGATCTTATTATATGATTGGCTTGATCAAATGCCTGTGAGGAAACAAATCATTCGATGATTGGCTGATTTGGATTTGTTATTCTCATTGTGACACGGTCCAACATTTTTTTATTTTTTTCTTCATGTCTTAAACTCATTAAAAATTTTATACCTTTATTATTTCTGTAAAAAAAAAAATTTAATGCTCTAAATGTAATTAAAATTATCATTTTAAATCATGATGTCCTAAGTGGTCGTTTACCTCGCTTGTGCTCGGACCTGCCCTGACTTCTTGCTTAGTTAATAATGTGGTTGCTAGGATAGAATTTTGCATGAATAAGCCTATGATTGATATTGTGGTCTCTTCTAGATTGGTATATCTCAGTTCACAGAAAATGAAGCTAGGAGGATCAGCGTTGAATCCGAAAGCAGCAGCTTACGTACCAGTCTCCAAAAGAGACGGTGATTCTGCAAATCATCACGTGCAGCACCAACCCTATGGTTATGGAGTCCAAGGAAAGGGAAGTTATCCATGTTCTGAAACGTACATGCCAAAGACAGAAACAGCCTCTGAAAAGCAGATGAGTGATGAGGATTTGGAGATGGACATTGACATTGAGTTTCTTTTAGCCACATTCTCTAATTTGTCATATGAGTCTATCAGTGATGTTTACTTGGCAAATAATCATGATCTCGATGCTACTATCGAAATGCTGAACCAGCTCGAGGTAATTTAATTATCTCATCTCACTAGTACACTTGATTACACTAGTGTAGATTGTAAACTTGAGTAAACTAATTGATTGTCCAATTTCTACAGATTTTCAGTAATGAAGCCGAGGAATACCTCCCAGATACACTAAACATTGGTGATGTACCTGAAAACATAGAGTTCTCAACTTCTTCAGCTCCAAAACAAAAGAATGAAAGTACTGAAGCAAGTGCATCCCCAAACGCTCCAGTGTCCTCTTCCTGATTTGTTGAGTCCTTAAATGAGAAGTTTTTTTAAAAACATTCTTGTAATGGATGATGTTAATTATGAGGTTGATGGGTGTCTTTAGGAGATCTCTTTTCTATATTTGTTTCCTTGGGGGGGGGGGGGGGGAAGAGAGTACATTGTATGGATTTCTGAAAAATATATCAAGTTTGGTTTTTGAGTATTGGGATTGTTCTTATGGTGGACAAAGCTATATGAATCATTAGCCTCTGCAGCTCTTTTGGCCATTTTTGAGTTTTTAATAAAGACTCTTTATTAATTTGAATATCTTTTGTTCTTTGGTACTTTTTAATGTTCTTACATCTATTAAACATCTCAGTCAACCAAATTTTTTTGTTAACAATGTTAATGTCATATAGTAAGTATACTAGTAATTCAATATTTCATTCTCCAACGGTAAGTTGTTAAAAGATAGATGATCAAAACACAATTTCGAAATTATTTGCCTACGGGTCTTTAAATTATTAAATTAATGAATGTGGAGAGCTACATTTGCGGCCGTCTTCTCTCTCTAGGTATTATTATTAGAATCATCTAAAAATATGTCCTTAAACTTGCTCGATTTGGTTTCTTCATCTTTCTTTCTTTTTTCTCCTTTTCATCATTCATTGGTGATGCTGGAGATCTGATTCTTTTCTTCTGGGTTTTTGTTTTAGAGGAAGAAGAAATTCAAAATAATAAAAAAAGATGGGTTTGGATTATTACACCATATTGAAAGTTGACAAAAATGCAACGGATGATGATCTCAAGAAATCTTACAGAAAATTGGCTATGAAATGGCATCCTGATAAAAACCCTACCACCAAAACCGAAGCTGAAGCCAAATTCAAACAGATCTCTGAGGCTTATGAGGTAACTTCTTTTCTTGTTCCTAATCTTTATTCCCTTAGAACCCTAAAATATTCAAAACTCTCTGTGTATACGTCTTGCTGAGATCCATTCCTTTGACTAATAATGAGTTTCTTGGGATACAAGCAAAATGTTGCTGCATTGTTAACCAATGTTTTCATTCTAAGAATGTTTCATTTGTGGGAAAAACATTTCAGGTTCTTAGTGATCCTCAGAAGCGAGCAGTATATGATCAATACGGTGAAGAAGGGTTAAGCGGTATGCCGCCTCCAGGGAGCACAGGAAACAACGGGAGAGGAGGCGGTTTCAACCCTAGAGATGCAGAAGACATATTCGCTGAGTTCTTTGGAAGCAGTCCGTTTGGTTTTGGATCAGCTGGTCCTGGAAGGTCGACAAGGTTTCAATCCGACGGTGGAGGTGGAGGAGGAATGTTTAGTGGAAACAACGGTACTGAGAACATGTTCAGAACTTATAGCGATGGCACTGTCCCTAAGAAACCTCCACCCGTTGAGAGCAAGTTGCCTTGTAGCCTTGAAGAGTTGTACACTGGATCAACCAGGAAAATGAAGATCTCTAGAACCATTGTTGACCCTAACGGGTAAACTTTGTTTCCGTTTTATCATATTTTTCAACCGTAAGATCTTTTCAAGACCGGTTCTGAGATTTTGGACTTCATAGATATTTAAGTATTTTATCACATTATTCACCCACAAAATCTTTTCAGGACAGGTTCTGAGATTTTGGAGGTCATAAATATTTAATAAGTACTTTAGTAAAATAAAAAAATAAAACATAATTTAGAGTTTGTATCCATATAAATTATTTTAAAAATTTAAAAGACCAATGCCAATGTTTCTTTGGATGGTGAAACAGGAGACAAGCACAAGAGACAGAGGTTCTAACTATTGTTGTAAAGCCAGGATGGAAGAAAGGGACCAAAGTCAAGTTTCCTGACAAAGGAAACGAGCAAGTGAATCAATTACCAGCTGATTTGGTGTTTGTAATAGACGAGAAGCCGCATGATAATTTCAAGAGAGATGGTAATGATCTCATCACTAGCACGAAAGTGACGCTTGCGGAAGCTATAGGAGGAACAACTGTGAGTATCAACACACTTGATGGGAGGAATCTACCAGTTGGTGTCACGGACATTGTCAGTCCAGGGTATGAGCTTGTGGTTCCTGGAGAAGGGATGCCAATAGCTAAAGAAAAAGGAAACAGAGGTGATCTAAAGATCAAGTTTGATGTTCAGTTTCCGACAAGGTTGACAACGGACCAGAAGTCTACACTCAAGAGGGTCTTAGTTGGTTGAAGAGGTGAGATTTTCAATCATCTCATTGCTCTTGCAGGCTTGATGATCATACCTTCCTTTGTTGTTGTTGTTCATTAGTTCTTTATGTAAAGACTTTGTAGCATGTTCTTTTGATGTGTCTGAAAACAATCTGTACAAATCTTTGATTGTGTTGTTGCATACTATTAAACTTCCAAACCCTTGTTTCTTACAAGACTTTTATCATTCAAATGTTTACCATCTATTGAAATGCTAATATAAAAAGAAGTCAATTAACCTAACTAAAAAAACTATAATATTACACACACAAAAAAAACAATATATTACAGAGAGGAACAAAGAGCTGCAAGGAAAAGGAGGAGAAACATACTAGTTGATAACGTGGATCCCACGGCACCTGTGGATTTAAATAAAAAGGTCCAATTAAAATTAATAAGGCCCAAACTCGATATGGGCCTTAGCATTTACTTAGGATACCTCATTAGTAAATCCAACGGTTGTAGTCACGTGTCAGTGTCTAATCAGACGGACACTATAATTGCATGCAAGTTGTTAACTAATATTATTACCAGAAAAACAAAACTGCTGTTCTTTTCGATAAAAGCAAATCTTCCTGTCTGAAAAAAAAAAAAAATTAAATTGCCGAGAAAAAAAAATACCATCATTTTTTTTCTCAGCAATCGAGAAAGCTAAATACACCATAAACTCCTCTGTTTCTTTCTCCTTTCTCGATTCAAACTCTGTCTTTTTTTTTTTTTTTAATTCGAGATTTACTTTTTTAAATTTCAGAAACTTTCCTCTTTTTTTTACAATCAAAATCTAAAAGGGTCTCTTCTTCTCTCTATCTCTACCAATGTCCGTAGATACTAGGAATCATGAGATTAAGATTTGAGGAGAAAGCAAGTAATCATTATTAGGGTTTCCCAAATTACATCAAAAGTTTCAACCTTTTCTTCCGGATCTAACCCAACAGATCTGTAGTTCTGTCGTGTTGGAAGAATGTTCTGTCCTAACACAACTTTTTAAAATCTCAATTCAATTTTCATTTCATCATGTTCAAGCAGTTCTTGAGTAAGCTTCCACGGAAGTCACCAAAACCAGACTCCACCACGGATCCAACTCAAAGATCCGGATCCGGAACCGTCTCGGCACCAACCCGATCCAACTCAGTGAAACGCATGTCCTCCGCCGTCTTCCCTTCAAGCGTCGTCGCCGGAATCGAGCCTCTAGTTCCCTTCAAAGACGTACCAAACTCCGAGAAGCTGAACCTATTCGTCTCCAAAGTCAGCCTCTGCTGCGTCACGTTCGATTTCTCCGACCAAACCAAGAACTCAATCGAGAAAGACGTGAAGAGACAGACACTCCTCGAGCTTCTCGAGTTTGTGTCTTCATCCTCCGTTAGGTTCAGCGAGCCAGCGATCCTCGCGATGTGTAGGATGTGCGGTGTGAATCTCTTTAGGGTTTTTCCTCCGAGTTACCGGGAGAGTGATGATGATAATGAGCCGTTGTTTGATCCCTCTTGGCCTCATTTGCAGATTGTTTACGACCTCTTGCTTAAGTTTATTACATCTCCTTGTCTTGATGCTAAGTTGTGTAAGAAGTATCTAGACCATGGGTTTATAGTTAAGCTTCTTGACTTGTTTGATTCCGAGGATCCTAGAGAAAGAGAGTGTTTGAAGACGATT